TGGCCTTTTAAGTTCCTTTCGCTGTGTTTTTCAGTGTTTTTCTGAGTGATGGTCATTCATTGGCCTGATATGTGTATTGTGTCTGGCCCAACTTACCTGTCCGAACATATCTTCCCTTCTCTGAGGACTTTAAGATCATCTGGGTAGGCCTTGCTCTCGGTCCCACCTTTGTCACAAGCATGTTTGGCGGGGAGAGAGACAGGGCCTTCTCAGTGGTGGCCCCTCAGCTATGGAATGCCCTCCCTAGGGAGATCAGATCTGCTCCCTCCCTCTTGATGTTTCGGAGGCAAGTTAAAACGTGGCTATTCGAGCAAGCGTTTACAAATACAGAGTAGCTAATATAGGAAATCGAATGACCTGACAATGGAATTGGACAATGCTTGAGAATAATGAGACGCTGATGATGTTGCTTTTATTGCTTTTGTGATATCTTATACTGTTTAATACAGGAGCCCCCGGTGGCACAGTGGGTTAAAGCACTGAGCTGCTGACCTTGTTGACCAAAAGGTCCCAGGTTCGAATCGGGGGAGCGGGGGGAGCTTCCACTGTCAGCTCGAGCTTCTGCCAACCTAGCAGTTCGAAAACATGCAAATGGGAGTAGATCAATAGCTCAGCAGGAAGGTAATGGTGCTCCATGCAGTCATGCCGGCCACATGACCTTGGAGGTGTCTACGGACAACGCTGGCTCTTCGGCTTAGAAATGGAGATGAGCACCACACCCCAGAGTCAGACATGACTGGACTTAATGTCAGGGGACTATCTACCTATATACTGTTTAATGTTTTTTATCCATTATGTTTTATGTATACTGGATTTGTTGGAAACCACCTTGAGTCGCCAATTGGCTGAGAAAGGCGGTATACAAATACAGTAAATAAATAAATGTGTCCAAATTTCGTGTCAATTCATCCAGTGGTTTTTGAGTTATGTTAATCCCACAAACGAACATTACATTTTTATTTATGTTTATAGAGGGCACATGATTCTAAGACACACCCCATTTTTAGGAATGTTTATATAGGGAAAAATATGTGTTTTGGGATCTGAAAAAAATACAGTATAACTCTCATGATTCCATAGAATTGAGCCATGAGTGTTAAAGTGATTTCAAACTGTGTTCGTTCTGCAATGTAGTTTTACCTTTGGATTGCTGAAAATATGCATTCTCTAAATGCTGCAGATAATATCCCCATTGGTTTTGTCTATATCACGTGTTTTGTAAGGGGCTTTCTACTGTGTTTAAACTGTCAGTGTTTTTTGTACATGCCATTTCTCTAATGGAGAAAAATGCACTTAATGCTTTTGCACTCTCAGAAGAAGACAAGGTTCAAGCTCTAAGCCTGGGTTAATGGTGCAGCCCTACATGTAGTGCAGAGGTCAGGATTTGCATCTTGTGGCCTCTGATCCACAACTTGTTTCCCTTCCCTGCCTTTGAGCCTTCTGCCTTTTACTAAGCTTGAAAGCAAAGAGAAGCCTGGTGTTTGTGTGTGCGGCATAGCGTGAGAGAGTGCTGATTTCCTCCCTTATTCACCTTGAGAAGGTTTGCCTGTGAGGATTGGCATCTTTGGCATATCTTGAATCATTAATCTGATGTCTCTGTGCTAAGCAGCCCTGTATGGAAAGGCTGTGCACCAAACCTTCTCCTGGTTCAGCAGTCTTGCTCTTTTCCCAGAGAAAACCTGTCCCGAACTCTCGTTTCCCCTGTAACCTCTCCTCCAATTATTAATCCAAATATAACTGGCTTCCCGTTTAAAATAAATGCTTGTCATTGTCCCATCTTTCAAATCATGGTCGATGAAACGGAAAACATTTTTCCCTCCTTGATACAAGGGTATGCAGCTGGGAGGACAGCTTCCCATAGAATATTTATGTTGCGCTAGAGGACTCACAAATCAAGCCTCTGTCCAGACCATCCCATGGAAAGACTATTCATGGGGGGAAAGGAAACATTGCAAAGCTGTTTACCAATGAGCTGCCACTCACAACACTCTTGATCATTGGCTATCTTGATCATACTCCGCTTTGGCAGGAAAAACGAAATGCAAAGATACAGAATGGGGGACGATGAGGCCTGGCTCGAGAGCAGTACTTGTGAAAAAGATCTTGGAGTCCTCGTGGACAACAAGTTAAACATGAGCCAACAATGTGATGTGGCGGCAAAAAAAGCCAATGGGATTTTGGCCTGCATCAATAGGAGCATAGTGTCTAGATCTAGGGAAGTCATGCTACCCCTCTATTCCACTTTGGTTAGACCACACCTGGAATATTGTGTCCAATTCTGGGCAGCACAATTCAAGAGAGATATTGACAAGCTGGAATGTGTCCAGAGGAGGGCGACTAAATGATCAAGGGTCTGGAGAACAAGCCCTATGAGGAGCAGCTTAAGGAGCTGGGCATGTTAAGTCTGAAGAAGAGAAGGCTGAGAGGAGACATGATAGCCATGTATAAATATGTGAGAGGAAGCCACAGAGAGGAGGGAGCAAGCTGGTTTTCTGCTTCCTTGGAGATGCAATGGAGCAATGGCTTCAAACTACAAGAGAGGAGATTCAATCTGAACATGAGGAAGAACTTCCTGACTGTGAGAGCCGTTCAGCAGTGGAACTCTCTGCCCCGAGTGTGGTGGAGGCTCCTTCTTTGGAAGCTTTTAAACAGAGGCTGGATGGCCATCTGTCAGGGGTGATTTGAATGCAATATCCTGCTTCTTGGCAGAATGGGGTTGGACTGGATGGCCCATGAGGTCTCTTCCAACTCTTTGATTCTATGATTCTATGCTCCCTGGGAATGCTGGGAATGACATTGGAAGCTCAGTTCCCACTCCTAGTTTGCTAGATGAGACCTGGGCTAGTGTCCTTCTAGTGTTTTATACTCACTCATATATGCAGGTGTACTTTTTAAAATCATTTCTTGTGGTCTGCTCTGTAACCTGAAGTGATTTTCCCATTATCTCAAGCTCAATTTCCAGCTTTGCTATGGAACTCAAGGATGAAAATACATATTTTCATGCAAAGTATATTCTCCACCACTGATCTACAACCCTACCCATGTATACCAGAATGTTAGCCTTATGTTGTTATAGATCATTAGATGCATTTGTATGCTGAAAGTCGCTTCTAGTGTGAGAAAATCAGCCGTCTACGAAAACATTGCCCAGGGAACGCCCGGATGTGTTGCAACCCAGTGGGAAGGCTTCTCTCATGTCCCCCATTAGATTCAGTGAAATTACCAACTGCTGTTTGATTTTAAGTTGCCTTTAAATACATAAAATACTCTAAAAAGAATGCTATCGTCTTGTGAAAATTGTTGTATATTTATATATTTCACTCCTTAGGTACAGTGAAATATATACCGTATATTCTGGCGAATAAGACTACTTTTTAATGTAAGAAAATCTTCTCAAAAGTCAGGAGTTGTCTTATACGCGAGAGTTGTCTTATGCACAGGAGTCGTCTTATATGCAGGATAGCCTTATATGCTGGGAGTCGTCTTATAGAGTGGATGCTGAAACTTCCAATCCGGATTGGAGAATCTGTGGTTGCTGCATATTGTTGGGGGAGCTCAAAAATGGCAGTGGCCACGTCCCTACAGTGACTGTATGAAAGCATTAAGGGCGACGCCGTACAAGTATGGTAGAAGAAAATCCATTCATCAGGATTTGTGGACTTAATGCGGTCCCGATAGTGAGGTGAAGGGGTGCCTCATCGGGAAGGGGTGATTTGAATGCAGTATTCCTGCTTCTTGGCAGGGGGTTGGACTGGATGGCCCATGAGGTCTCTTCCAACTCTTTGATTCTATGATACACACCTCTTTGACCTGTCTAGCCTGCCCATGTATCCTACTACCGTACCTCCTCCTCTGCCTCTCAGATCTTGCTCCTGAAGACTGCAGTGAAGAGGTGCAGGTGTGCAGGTGCGAGATCTGAGAGGCAGAGAAGAAGGTCCAGTAATAGGAAAATTACAAAATTGAAATCAATTCTGATGTTTTTTAAATTTTTATTTGGTGTGCGTTGGAAGAGGGATAGTCTTATGCGGCAAGTATATCTCAAACTCTATATTTTAACTGGAAAAGTTGGGGGGTCGTCTTATACGCCCAGTTGTCTTATATTTTATTTTATTTATTTATTTGGAGTACTTCTACCCGGCCCTTCTCAACCCCCTGGGGGGGGACTCAGGGCGGCTTACAAAAGGCACAATTCGATGCCCAACAGTTCACTTAATACAATATACAAAATACAATATAACGACAACAGTTATAACTAGTTAAAACAATCAAATTAATACAATAGCAGCAATAAAATCATCTTGTGGTCAACGTTCGCCAATTCATAAATCCATAATTCATCCAGCATTGTCATAGTCCTTTCCTACTGTGGTCGTCATTGTCTTTTATCCATCTGCCAGCTTACCCAAAGGCCTGGTCCCATATCTAGGTTTTTAACTTCCTTCTGAAAGAGAGGAGGGATGTTGATGACCTAATCTCCCCGGGGAGTGAGTTCCACAGGTGAGGGGCCACCACCGAGAAGGCCCTGTCCCTCGTCCCCACCAGTCTCACTTGTGATAAAGGTGGGGCCGAGAGCAGGGCCTCCCCAGAAGATCTTAAACTCCGAGGTAGGACGTAGAAGGAGATACGTTCGGACAGGTATGCTGGGCTGGAGCCGTATAGGGTTTTGTAGGTCAAAACCAGCACTTTGAATTGTGCTGGTTATATGCCAGAATATACGGGTAGATATACGACAATTTTCACAAGGCTATAATAGCGCTCTTTTTAGAGTTACCATGTATTTGAAGGCAACTTAAAATCAAACAGCAGTTAGTAATGTTCATTTTTTCTGTTCAAAGAGCAGTTGAGGACATAACACTCCAGGCTGGTGATCTGGACAACATCTGGCAAACATCTGGCTCTGCAGGATATTTATTCATCCTCCTAAACTGGATCCTCTTGTTCACTTCCCAAGTTGATTGAACAATGTCAGTAACATTCTGGCTCTCTTTTTGTCTCCGCAGATAATAAAGCTGAAAGCCGAAGCTCGACTTGACCTCCTGAAGCAGATTGGGGTTTCGGTGGATACGTGGCTGAAAAGTGCAATGAACCAAGTCATGGAGGAACTAGAGAATGAGCGGTGGGCGAGCCTTCCTACGGTGGCCAACAATGGCTCTTCGCACTTGGTACAGTCATAATCATTCTTCTGAATTGTTAGTAATATGTTAGGCATTGATGTTGTCATTTGCCACCACTTGTAGCCGTCCTCCAAATGAGAGACCACCAAGATCCCTGGTCAGCAGGTGCCCTGCTCACATCTTGCAAAGTCAGGCCACTATAGGTTCTTCACTTAAGCCCCATGTTTACTTGCTGCCTTCCACTTTAACAAGCCTTATTGTTCTTTCATGGAGTCATGTCATTCCATTTATATGAGAGTTGAATTAAAAGTAATGCCTCCAACTTCGTTACTTGGGTTTGGATGGAAATATTTTAATAAATCAAGCGCAGAAATAATAAATGTATTGTCGAAGGCTTTCATGGCCAGAATCACTGGGTTGTTGTAGGTTTTTTCTGGATATATGGCCATGTTCTAGAGGCATTTCTCCTGACGTTTCGCCTGCATCTATGGCAAGTTTTAAACTTGCCATAGGGCGCAGACTGATTGCAGTCAGTGGTTTGCTGTTCACTTTTGGACTTTTGCTTGCTGAGGTGTTCCTGCGAGTATCTCTGTAGATCTTAGAAAACTATTTCTTGATTTAAGGTGTTGGCATCCTGACTGATATCCGAATAGAGGTTGGGCCAGAGATGTCAGTACCTTGGTTCTTTTATTATTGGCTGCTACTTCCCGACGGATATCAGGTGGTGCAATACTGACAGTATAAAACAGTATATTTTCCCCAGTGTTGTGGGGTATAGACATCTTGTGATAATGTTGCATGTCTCATTAAGATCATGCAACCAAGTCAAGGCTGAGCTTTGGAATTACAACAAACTCATCTTCAGTTATCAATGACAACAGATGTTCTGGCTTCATAAGAATTGATGTGTTCATTATGGCATGAGTTTCTGGAGGCAACAATTCACATATTACAAGGTGGATCAGTTAAAGGTGGTGTTGGGGCCACTGGAGCTTTGAAAATGTATGGATATATACTGAATTACTGAATTTGCAGTCGGTTGAGATGAGTCAGGACTGATAAGAGAATGGTCATATTTGACTTCAGATATTTATTTATTTACTTACTTACTTACTTACTTACTTACAGCTTTTATATTCCGCCCTTCTCACCCCGCAGGGGACTCAGGGCGGATTACAGTGTACACATATATGGCAAACATTCAATGCCGATTTTTGACATACAAACATATACAGACATACACAGAGGCTATTTAACTTTTTCTGGCCGCCAGGGGAGCTGTCGCTTTCATCGTCCATCTGCGACGCTGATGAAGCACTTCCGCATTCCCCGCATGCTTCCCCGCTGGAATGCTTTTCTGGAGTCTTCTTTATGGCCTCATAAATCAGTTAATTTAGCCTCCCCACACTTTAAGGTGGTACCTTATTTTCCTACTTGACAGATGCAACTGTCTTTCGGGTTGCAAAGGTCGACAACAGGCTACACACAATTGGTTGGAAACCCACTCCAACCCGGGCTGGCTTCGAACTCATGACCTTTTGGTCAGAGTGATCTTAATGCAGCTGACACTCAGCCAGCTGTGCCACAATCCCGGTGCATCAGACTCAAATATTATTATTTTTTGTGAATGTGTGTGTCAGAAGCTACTTGAGAAGCTGCAAGTCACTTCTGGTGTGAGAGAATTGGCCATCTGCAAGGAGGATGCCCAGGGGACACCTGGATGTTTTACCAACCTGTGGGAGGCTCCTCTCATGTCTCTGAATGAGAAGCTGGAGCTGACAGATGGGAGCTCACCCTACTTCCCAGATTCAAACCGCTGACTTTCAGTCAACAGTCCTGCCAGCAGAAGGGTTTAACCCATTGCACCACCAGAGGCTCCAGATCTCAAAATAATTAGATGGTGGCTGGCCTTGGCTTATGCGTGTAACATTAAAGCCTGGTGCTCTTTAAAACTAACAGAAGGGACCATGTTAATAGGATTACAAACCGCCTGGCTTTGCTGCAAGGGTCAGACTTCTCAACTGTCTGGAAAGGAAGACGCCAAGATGGTAGGAAAAGGAGTTCATCTAGAAAGCATGAACATATTAGAATTGCAGAACATGGTTCAATTAGCCCCTTTGTATATGTATTCCCACTTGGCTGTGCAAGCTTTTGATGCGACAAAGTGGGATGGGAAGAGTGGAATTTTTCTCTAAATCTGAATGTACTAAACAGTAACTCAGATTATCCCTTTTAGCAAGTAATGAGTACAGAACCATGCTGAATCAGTTAGCTGCACAAACTGTTGAATCGGCACATGCAACAGTTGCTCTGGAGCCTAATAACTGATCATCAAAGGCTTTCATGGCCAGAATCACTGGGTTGTTGTAGGTTTTTCGGGCTATATGGCCATGTTGCAGAAGCATTCTCTCCTGACGTTTCGCCTGCATCTATGGCAGGCATCCTCAGAGGTTGGGAGAATGCTTCGAAAACATGGCCATATAGCCCAAAAAAACTACAACAACCCAGATCATCAAAATGTTTGGCTATTTAGGATAAGGATATTGTGCCATCCAAGGCTGCGAGAGACTTCATGCATCTTTTTTCTGTATGTGTCAGAAACCTAGTGCAACAAGTTCATAGGATCATTGATGGAAAGGAGTATATTAAATTCAATGGGGGGCATTTTTAAATACACAATTCCCATCTTATTTAGTAAAGGTAAAGGTTTCCCCTTGACATTAAGCCTAGTCGAGCCCAGCTCTGGGAAGTGGTGCTCATCTCCATTTCTAAGACAAAGAGCCAGCGTTATCAGTAGACACTGTTGCACTCTAGGACAGGAAAAACCTCTGACTTTAAACACCACACCGTTGGATAGGGAAACAATCCTTTTCTTGAAGATAATTAAAAAGCAGTAAAGTAAAAAAAAAACACTTTAAATAAATAGGTATATCCAATTAGGTAGGAAGATAAGCAGGAACAAAGTAATCCAGGGTAATAGTCCAGCAAAGTCCATAAAAACAAAGTGAAAACTTGCCCCAAAATGCAAGAAATCAAGAAACATGAATACAAGGCACAAATATAAAAGCATAGAATCCAAGAATCAAAACCATGAAACAAAGGCACTTAAAACATGAATTTTCCAGCAAAGCTTCCATGAAACAAGGATGAGATCTTGACTTGATTCCAAACGATGCTTCATCTGACTACATATCCTGTACTTGGGACTTTTATCTCCTCGTTAGCTATGTCTCTAGCACTCAGAAATTGGTTTCGCTTTAGCTTAGAATTTCTTATCTTTTTCTCTCGGAGCCTTGCAGAACACTGAAGCCATTGTTCAGCTTTCCTGTTTTGACTGATCTCCTCCCGTCTATTTGCTCATTAATTTCTGCAGGCGGGCCAGGTGCCGAGCTGTTTTCATGTTCCCTATCATGGAAACTCTCTGGTAACAATTCAGAGAACACACCATCAACCCCACACCCCTCAGGGACATTCTCATGGGAAACTACACGTTGCACAGGGATCTCCTGGTCATTCTCTGCATCAATATCATTGACCAAACCATTGCAATCTTATAACTCATCTTGAAACTCATTGACATCACTCCCCATATCCAAAGCACCCTGATCCTGAAACACAATCACAGGCTGAGCTTCAGCAGACACCTCCAAGGTCATGTGGCTGGCATGACTGCATGGGGCACTGTTACCTTCCCAACAAGGCGGTGCCTATTGATCTACTCCCATTTGCATGTTTTTGAACTAAGTAGCAGAAGCTGGGGCTGACAACGGGAGCTCACGCCACTCCCCGGATTCAAACCTGCAACCTTTCGGTCAACAAGTGCACTGGGACTGTGTCGCAACTGGCTGGGAGTCAGCCACATTAAGATCACTACTGACCAATAGGTCATGAGTTCAAAGCCAGCCCAGGTCGGAGTGAGCTTCTGACCAATTTGTGTAGCTTGCTGTTGACCTTTGCAGTCCGAAAGACAGTAGGAAATTTAGGTACCGCTTAGGTGGGGAGGCTAATTTATGACGCCATAAAATCTCCAGCAAGCATGCAGAGAATGAGGAAGTACTTCATCAGTGTCACAAACGGACAGTGAAGCGACAGCTCCCCTGGTGGCCAGAATACCCTCATGAAAAAGCTGGAATGTTAAATAGCCTCTGTGTATCTGTCTATGTATGTTGTGTGTCTATGGCATTGAATGTTTGCCACGTATATGTACATTGAGTCCCCTGCGGGGTGAGAAGGACGGAATATAAATACTGTAAATAAATAAATAAATAAATAAGTTCAGCAGCTCAGCGGTTTAACCCGCTGCGCCACCAGCGTCTCATCTGCTTTTGATGTGTTCTGGAAGACATTCTAGGAAGATATTAAGCTTTCCACTGGGGGAAAGTGTGAGAATCTTAAAAGGGGAATCGCAGTCAGTGTATCAAAAGCCAACAGTTGGATTTCCTTTGGTAATTAAGATGTAGCAGTAATTCCTGTTTGACAAATTGGAGTAATTACGAGCCAGCTTAACTCTGACACTGTTTTCCGTTCCTGCATCGCATGTAGCAATAATCTTTTTTTCTGCGGCCCCAGAGAACTAACCAGGCCAGGGATAATCTCCTGCATTCCTAACAGTTTAGTCATTGTGTAAGACTTGCCCATACAGGTTGAGTCTCCTGTATCCGGAAATCCATCATCCGAAAGCCTCCAGAAAGCAAAAACTTTTTGCTTCCATCTGCCTGCTTCTTCCTTCGAGGTGGCAGTGCTCCTGCTTGTTCGTCTCTGTAATCCTCAATCTTAACCCGAGGCTGGGAAGAAATTGACCATTTGAGAGGCGAACGAGTAGGAGCATCACAGCCATCACATCGAACACAGAAGCAGACAACTCATGCAAAAAGTTTCCATGTCTTGCCAGTTTTACAGATCCTCATTCTCCCCATCCTTAATTCTGATACATAAGTGATGATGAATGAGACATGGGGCTATTCCATAAAGATACTGGAAGTGTTCCATATTTCAGTTTGCTTTGGATTTCGGGGGGGAAAATCCAAAATGGGTTGTTGTGAGTTTTC